TTCTCACAAAAACTGTCTGGCCGGGAACCACAGTAGTGGATCTTGAGGGGTGCCTAACACCTTCCCCTTAGGATAATTTCAAGCCCTTACCCTGTCTCTGGTTATCAAACGTAGTTATAAATGAACCCTATAGGTGCCCTAACGCACCTTAAATCGTTAGGTGGCGACTCTTCAAAAATGCAAACCCCTTTCCCAAAAGGAACGAGTTGTCTCAACCAAAATGTCATAAACTCGATTTTGCGAGAAAAAGGGGGTGCGACAGGTGCCGGAATCCATCATCACCGACAATGCCGCCAACCTCAACAGCGACCTAATGAAAGCCATGTGTGAAACTTTCCAAAATCAAGCATAAGAATTCCACGCATACATACCTCAAATGAATGGAGTCGTGGAAGCCGCCAACAAGAACATCAAGAAAATTCTAAGGAAAATGGTAGACAACCACAAGCAATGGAACGAGAAATTACCATTTGCCTTATTGGGGTATCGTACCACAGTTCGTACATTAACCAGAGCAACTCCCTACATGTTGGTCTACGGTACAAAAGTTGTCATTCCCGCCGAGGTCGAAATTCCTCCCTTAAGAATTATACAAGAAGCTGAACTCAGTGATGCAGAATGGATAGGAAGTCAATACGAACAGTTAGCTCTTATTGACAGAAAAAGAATGAATGCGATATGCCATGGTAAACTGTATCAGAACAGAATGTCCAGAGCTTTTGACAAAAGGGTCAAACCCAGACAGTTCACACCAGGGCATCTGGTGCTGAAGCGAATCTTTCCACATCAGGATGAAGCCAAAGGGAAATTTTGCACCTAATTGGCACGGGCCCTACATGGTTCACATGGTACTAACAAGAGGAGCACTCATACTTGTAGAAATGGACGGAGAAATTTGGCCAAAGCCTATCAATTAAGACGTAGTCAAGAGATACTATGTTTAGATTGTTTATATTGCTTCATTTGATGTAACTGAACTACGCTTGACCTAATTCCCGTTTAAGAGGGGATACGTAGGCAGCCCTGTGGGTTTGGTCACATCTTAATAAAATCTTTTTTTTGCCCATGATCAGAAACTGGGGCAGAATTTTGAGGAGGATCCTCAAAATTCCGGAGCAAGTCCAGCCAACTTCGTCATATGCAGAACAGTCGAAGATTTGATTATTAAACTGGGGCAGAATTTTGAGGAGGACCCTCAAAATTCCGAAGCAAGTCCAGCTGACACCATCATATGCAGAACAATAAGAGAATCGGCTAAGTTGGGGAAGAATTTTGAGGAGGACCCTCAAAATTCTAATGCAAGGAAGTCGCAATGTCTCTAAAGTGTCACAGTCATTGATTCATTTAATTTACTTGATATCGTAAACTACTATGTTTTAAAATAACTATGTTTATCAAATACATGCATACTTTTCGAAAACTTTATTTCTGTGGTAGCCAAATGTTATCCAGGGTCACTCGAACAAGATCTCAAGGCAGGAGCACAGGAAAAGCAAAAGACAAAAGCACAAACCGACCTACCCCCCCCCACCCCTACAAAACTCACAAATCTTTCTTTGAATGCAGGTACAATAAGACAACGATACTCGTAGATACATCAAAACACTGCCCTCAAGACAACAAATTATCTAGCACGAACATCTTTAGCTAAGAAATACTTTACTTTTATATTTATCCCCTATTTGCATGAGGCTAAGCCTTGCCTCCTTAATTGCATAAGGCTAAGCACTGCTTTCCCCTGCATGAGACTAAGCATTGTCTCCATTTTGCATGAGGCTAAGCCCTGCCTCCCTAACTGCATAAAGCTAAGCACTGCCTTCCCCTGCATGAGGCTAAGCCCTGCCTCCTCAACTGCATAAGGCTAAACATTCTCTTTCATTGCATGAGACTAAGCCCTGTCTCCTTTTCTTGCATGAGACTAAGCCCTGCCTCCTCAACTGCATAAGGCTAAGCATTGCCTTTCATTGCATGAGACTAAGCACTGTCTCCCTTTCTTGGATGAGGCTAAGCACTGCCTCCCTAATTGCATAAGGATAAGCACTATCTTTCCTTGCATCAAGACTAAGCAATATCTCCTCTTCTTGCATGAGGCTAAGCACTGCCTCCCTAAATACATAAGGCTAAGCTCTGCCTTTCCTTTCCCAACACCAAATGTTACGCTACTCGCAATCTAGCACTATTTTGCCTTCCCGGGGGCTAAGCTCTGTCCCAATCTTATGCAAGACTAAGCTCCGTCTTATTTCTCTTATATGACCCAGTATCATGTATCTACATTTCATGGGCTGAAACATTGCCATTTTGTCCAAAGGCATCATAGTCTGAAGGCATCATCCTCATAGCCTGAAGACACCATGTCATGGATTGAGGATCTCTCAATATTGCACATCATTATTCAAAGGCATCATGGTTCAGAGGCACCATTCTCATAGCCCGAGAACATCATTTCATGGCCTGTGAATCCCTTATAATCCTATTCATGGCCCAGGACGTCATGGTCTAAGGACATCATCCTCACCGTCCAAAGATAATCTCCATGGTCCAAAGGGAATTTGCATCATGTTTAGCTTCTCGTAATAACCCATATATGTTTTGCATGCATAGTGTTTTAAGTTTTGTAGGTAATCCAGGAAGTAACCATTCTTCAAATAGGAGTAATCTTCGCTCCGGTTTCCGTTCGTAACATTCACAACCATCAATCGTTTCAAACGTAACCGACCATCAGTAATTGCCCACCTTTTACTCTATGGCCGTTCAGATATCTGCCCTATGATACGTCCATAACATCTCAAATTCACATTCATGAATTCGCATAAATTCATCCAATACTATCCTACTCCAAAGAACCTTTTCCGAAACATACAACCATTCCTATAACAACTCCGTCGGTTTCGTTCAATGTTGGATCCAGAACTACACGCCTGATTCCTGTAAAACCAGGGATATGTAGGGAGCTCAGAAACCAGGGTTGGGCCTATATTTTTCAAAATCACTCCATTCGGTCAAAATCGGCATCATTTCTTTACCCAACAACTCTTTCATCCTTCTCGGGTAAAGAGGGGCAGCTGTTGATACCCAATTTCCCCCTCATTTTTAACTATTTATACATATACTTTCAAAATAGTGCATATGCATCATCATTTTTGTTTATGAGCACACACAAGCATTTTACAATTTTTCATATTTTTTAAAGGCTTTAAATCAATTTTATTTCTGCATTTTATCCAATAATTACCCTCCAAATTAATTTTATGATGATTTAATCATCTAAACTTATCATTTGTACAAATGTGAGGTCTTAAATATTTTCAGTGCATTTCTTATAATTACATTTTGTATTTTTAGGGCTACATTGCATATTTTACAATAATAGCTCATATGAATGTATAATTATATTATTTATGCAGAAAATGACTTTTAATATTTTTATAATGTTAAATAATTATTTCAAATCATTTTAGTGCACAAATAATATTTTGTTATTTGTTAATTGCTTTTATAAATTATTTATTTATTAAATATTGGGAATTTAAAAACTAGCCTAAATCCCTACTCAATTTCGGATCTAAAAACCCAGCCCAGTTACCCCATACACTAAACCAATTACCCATGCCCAAAACTAAACCCCCTTATTTTTAAACCCAACCGGTAACCCATTTACACGACCCGCCCCAATCCCGTTTTAAAATCCTGGCCGTTGATCTCTAAGATCAACGGCCTACAATTAACCCACCCCTTTTAATTACCCCCCTTTCACCCAAACTCTAAACCATTTTTCCTTTACCTGCCGCCGTCATATGCTCTCTACTCTCTCTTCTTCTCTGCAAACCCTAGCGTCGTTAACCTATAATCCTCTTCAATTCCGACTCAAAAATAAAATCAATCGTTGATTCACTTACCTTATTGATCTCCTCTCACTACTGGTTACTCGTTTATGGTGTTACCTAGTTGCTTGCCTAAACATGGCAAGCGGATCTCTTCAATTTCGAACCAAAACTGATTTAGTTCCTTGACCCTTTTTCCGTCTGTGTTCGTTATTATTCTTTTATGGTATGAATCTCTATGAATCTCTGTGTATCATTGAGATTCTTACTTACCCTAAAACTAGGGATTTCAGATCTCTTTGGACTGAACCAAAATTGGTTCGATTCTCTGATTTTAAGTATTATTATGTCTATGTTCATCCTGTATTCTACCATGTGACCAATTTTTGTTATATTTTTTTGTCAATATTTGCTTTCCCTAAAATTAGGGTTTACCTATTTTTTCCTAAATCCAATTTTATTGATTCTGCATGCTATGGATTCCTTATTTATGTTCAACTTTACAGTGTTTCCTTATTTAATTGTTAATTTCTACCACTATATAAACCCCTTCCCTCATTCCCTTTAGGAGAGACTTTGGAATCACTATAACTTTACTAGATCTAAAGGCTTTACTCTGTTATTTTCCTTCTATACTTTGGTTTTGGCCGGCTGAAAGCCAAGGCCATTAAATTCTGGGTTTTTTGCTTCTCATTGACGTTCAGAACACTACGGATTTTTGTTCTTTCTTGCATTTTCGTTTAACTGGTGAGTTACTTGACTTTTTTCTTTTTCTTTTTTGTTTGCAATTTCATCCTTATATGCCTATAATATGAATGTGTTCTTACCTCTGAATCCATGGCTTAACATGTTCCTGGTTTACTTTTAAGCATCACTCTATAACTTCTGCATTTAATTACTCTTAATTATCTATGCCTAATTGGGTAATCTGAATCTTCCTAAGATTGTTTAGTTAGTGTGTTGACGCCTGAATGTTCATGAATCTGTTCACTTTCTTAGAATCTCTGTGATGAATGGCTCACATCTGTAGTAATCTATGTTAAGACTTTCAGTGTTAGTCATAATTTGCCTCTCTACCATTATGTCACTCAGCATGCTCACTCGATCCCATAACTTCAAATAAACTTCCTTCAACATCTAAAATCATTCTCTGCTATTTACTGTAACTTTACACCATCCATGAATAACTTCACAGAAACAAACAATTACGACTTAGCATCTCAAGAACCACCAGACATAGGAGCTATGCAAATTGAAGATAAAAACCTAACTACTCCACCACCATCCTTTCTGCAAACTTTAATTTCAAAGAAGCATCCCCCAACAATTCCTTCTATACAGCAGAGCATGGAACTACAACTAGACTTGTCTGATGAAAGTCTCCATTGTAGTCAAGACGACGACATATTTATACCAATTACTACTGAGGATAAATGTCGTTTATACACTCCTTGGAAATACTCCATCATAGTCAAAGTATTTGGTAGGAAAATAGTGCACCAAATACTACAAAATAAATTACTTGCCTTATGGAACCCATCTGAAGATATTCATCTTATTGATCTAGGCTCTGATTTCTTCCTCATAAAGTTCCAAAAGGAAGAAAACATGCTTAAGGCATTACATGGAGGGTCATGGTTCGTCTTGAATCACTTCCTATCCATTAGGCAATGGGAGCCAAAGTTCATAGCTTCGGCCACTCAACTCACATACTCAGCAATATGGGTTCGCTTACCAGAGCTTCTTACTGAGTTTTATGATGAGCAAATCTTATATAAGGTGGGTTCAAAGTTGGGACAGCTGCTAAAAGAGGATGCTTGCACATCTTCTACAACTAGGGACAAGTATGCAAGGATATGCATAGAGGTCCCGTTGGAAAAACCACTAAAGTCGCATATTCTTATAGGGCACCATAAACAGATCTTATTATACGAAGGCCTAAACATATTGTGCACAAGCTGTGGTCGCTTTGGACATACGACTATAAGCTGCCTTTTTACAGCACAAAAAACATAGAATAATCCAAATCTACACACAGCTACACCTACACAGAAAGATGCAGCCCGACAAACTGGAAAATACTAACTTTTCAAAAAAAACCTATGCAAAACAACAGCAATGGTCGAAACTCGGCCAACTTTAGGGCGGCGCTGGGAACGGTGAAACAAGGGCAACACTGGGAACCAGGTACGTCGACTATCAATTATGGGCCTGCTAAAGCCCACAAACAATCAAAGGACAAGGCTGAAAACAACCTACTCAACAACAAATTTAACAGGCTAGAGGACTTGGACAACATGGACTTGGATAATATTAAATTGAAAGGCCCAATTGAGGAATACATCGGAAACAAATCTACTACTACACCTGAGCAGCCCAATATAAATATCAGCTCCTCACTAAAGTCCAAAACATATCAGATAATACCAAACCAAAAAGTTTCTCCAACATCAATTACCAATACCTACTCCCCTACACCACTACTAGGCTTTAATAATCAAGCCATGCCAGGTACACTAAACACACTAACACAGCTACCTAAAGCCCATGATGAACTAAACAAACCACTTCATAATACCTATAACCAACCATTAGAGGACAAGTCGTCTTTTGTGCATGGCCTTGAGGACTCAGCTGCAATCCACGTACGTAGCAGCAACAGTGAGTTGCATGCTACAGTAGCCTATACTCGTAGCCAACCCCAACTCCAACACAAACCAAATACCTTCTACTTCAATAAACGAAGATGCAGAGACCAACATTCCCACAAAACAACAACCCTACTTTCCTACGGAACTGGAACAACAACCAACTCTTTTATCTTCCTCGACTACATATGCAGGGACCTCAGCTTCCACACATCAACACCACTGATATACACGTCTCAGGCAAACACAATGGATCTTCCTCTAGAGTCTTGGCTAGAGATGGGATTACAGGGGTATGCTCTTGTGTTTACAATGGAACTAAACAACCAGGAGATTGTCCTTCTTGTACAAAACCCATCGCACCTAGCAGAGATAGTCACAGAGGGAATAAGACTGGGGATAGAGGGGTATGCTCAACACCAATGGTACAACACACAAACACCTCTACTGTTGGATCGTCAGGCTTCAAGCTCGAACCCCCATCAGTGGAGTTATCCCATGCACTCACAGATACAAGTTCCAGCAACGACAAACCTGCTGCCATTTTATCCACCACATCACATGGGGCAGATTTATGCACCATGGTTCCAGCATCTCAACTCATTCAACCCTCTCTCCCCATATGCCAGTCCAATGAGTCCATTCGAAAAACAGTCTCCACCAGGCAGTCCACGCAGTCCAACACCACCTCCACCTCCATCTCCCAACGAACTAGATGTGCAAAGCAAGGGATGAGTTAGCAGAAATACTGGCAGAAATAAGGGAGACAAGGACAGAGTTCTTATGGTTAAAAGGGATACATCTTTACAATCTAAAGGAACAATTTGCAAAAAAAAAAAATCATCCTAAAATGTCCGCCAGAGATGATCTCATGCAGCATGACCTTCCGTGTCACAACAAATCGAGAGGCAGGGAAATACTCGATGGTGATAATTCTAACTCTTCGTCAGCTCCCACCAACGATGGAATCTCAGGACCAGATGTCATCAACGTTTGTCAGCCCGTTGATGCCTACTCCAACAGTCACACAAACAATGCTTAATATTATGAATATAATAGTTTGGAACTGTAGGGGCTCCCATAATCCGGAGTTCAGGAAGCAGTTTAGATCCTTACTAGACAATTATAGGCCAGCCCTAGCAATACTGCTTGAAACACACATACAAGACCATGAAGGACTCAGACAAGCTTTTGAGTTCACTAAAATGGCACAAGTGTCTGCAAATGGACTTGAAGGAGGGTTAGTAGTATTATGGAATGAGGCTGCGATTGGTGTTGAGGAGCTGAGGGTATCTGAGCAAGAAATCCATTGCCCTGTCAAGGTATGTCCCACTAAACCTAAATGGATATTATCTGCTATATATGCTAAGAATTTATACCAATCACGAAATGAACTTTGGGAAAGTCTAATGGATTTGCATGATAATTTTAAGTACCCTTGGCTAATATGAGGAGACTTTAATGATATTTTATATTCTCATGAAAAATTTGGAGGACTTTCTGTTAATATCAATAGGGCTGACAGATTTTCTAATTGTATCAACTATTGTAATTTAATAGATTTAGGCTTTAAAGGTAGTCGATTTACTTGGACGAATAAAAGAAAAAAGGGGCATACAATACTAGAAGGACTTGACAAATTTTTGGCAAATTATGAATGGCTCAATCTGTACCCTGAAGCTACATTGCAACATTTACCTCGTGCTTATTCTGATCATTGTCCGTTATTACTTAATTTAGACAATAGGAAACAGTCACCTAGAAATATTTTCAGGTTTGAAACTATTTGGGTATCACACCCGCAATTTCATCAATTAGTTCAAATTTTCAGGAAATCCTCATAGATTGGAACCATAATACTTTTGGAAACATCTATAGTCATAAGAGGAAAATACTAGCTAGACTTGCTGGAATCCAGTCTTCCATACACTACCCCACTAGTTGTTACCTTCAAAATTTAGAAGTGCAATTAAATAATGAATTTAGTAATATACTTAGATTAGAGGAGGACTTTGGGAAGCTTAAGTCAAGAGTGACTTCGCTTAATGAAGGGGATGCTAATACGAAAATTTTCCATATGTCTACATTACAAAGACGTAGGAGAAATAGAATAACCTTTCTCAAAGATTCAGTTGAACTGGTTTCACGACCAACAAGCTATTCAAGACCACATACTCTCTTATTACAAATTTTTTTTTACAACTGACCACAATCAGTCTACTAATATTACTTTTAATTCGAATTTCAATTTAGTTAGTAATATGAATAATCAGATTCTACAAAAACCTCTTGAGGACATTGAAATTTATCATGCAATGTTTAGTTTTGGTCCTTATAAAGCACCGGGTCCAGATGGACTTCATCCTTTCTTTTATCAAAAATTCTGGCCTGATGTTAGTAATAAGGTTAGGCAATTTTTCCATGATATTTTTGAATCAAATGAAATACCTCCTTTACTCAATCAAACATACATATGCCTTGTTCCAAAAGTAAGGCAGGCTCAGTCAATTCATCAATTTAGACCCATAAGTCTGTGCAACACTACTTATAAACTAATTACAAAAATTCTTGTGAATCGTCTTAAGCCTATTATTTCTTTGATAATAGGACCAACACAAACTAGTTTTCAACAAGGAAAACGTACAGCTGACAATGCAATAATAGTACAGAAAGCAACTAATCAGTTAGAAAAAATGAAAGGAAATAATAGTTACATGTTGCTAAAATTAGACCTGGAAAAAGCTTTTGATCGATTGAAATGGTCATTCATTAGGAAATATCTTCAATATTTCAATATACCTCTAGCTAGAACTAAACTTATCATGCCCTGTGTCACTACAACTTCTACTTCAATTCTTATCAATGGATAACATACATAATTTTTTTGCCCTCGAGGGGCATTAGACAGGGTGATCCTTTATCACCATACTTGTTTATAATGTGTATGTAGATGTTCTCACGTAGCATTACCTTATCTGTAGACTATCTTCAATGGCAACCACTTAAGGTTGCAAAAAGGGTCCACAACTATCGCATCTATTCTTCACTGATGATATAATTCTTTTTTCAAGAATTAATACTAAAAGTTGTAATGCCATTATAGATGTGATTAATCATTTTAGCAAACATTCAGGCCAAAGAATAAATTTTGAGAAATCAAAATTATTCTTTTCAAAAAAATAGCACGAATAATGACAAGATATTAGCAATAGACTGTTTCCATATCAAGGAGGGAACAAATTTTGGACGCTATTTGGGTTTTCCCATGTTTCACACACGTAAAAAAAAAGACGGACTTTCAATTTTTGTTAGATAATTTTAAAGTTAAATTAGCAGGATGAAAAACAAAGTTTCTTACAAAGGCAGGACAATCTACACTTATCAAATCAACTCTTAATAACTTGCCAAACCATATTATGCAATATATTCACATTCCAGCGTCAATTATAAAAAGGATGGAACAATACCAACGAAATTTTCTATGGGGATCTACAACAACAAGGAAAAAGATTCACCTTATTAAATGAGAAAAAATAACTCAACCCACTGAAATGGGAGGTTTAGGAATTCAAAGTCTTGAACAAAAGAATAATGCTTTACTGGGTAGTTTGGCATGGAGGACATTTCATTCGCGTCAAAGTCTTTGGGCTAAAGTTTTAATTAATAAATATGTTCCTTTAAGTTCCGCCACAAATCATTCCACTATTTGGCGTAACATAATAAAAGGTTGGAAATCTTGCCAAATAGGATTACAGTGGCAAATTGGTACAGGTGAGCATATAAAATTCTGGGATGATACGTGGATAAAGCCTGGCCTAACGGTTCGTTCTTTATTAAGTGGCCCATTACAAAGTTCGCATCTTAATAATAATATTAGTTCAATTTATAAGTGCAATAGTTGGAACTGGAACAACCTCCCTTTCCAGTTCTCGAAGGAATTAAAAAATGTAATTGGGAGCACTTATATCCAAGTATAAGTGCGAAGCTGATCATATTTTCTGGGCATTAACTAGGGATGGGAAATTTACGGTAAATTCTATCTATAAAGATCTGCATAGTCAAGTTAAAAATGAACATAGTACTACTGTCTATTTCAAATGGATTTGGGACCTGCCAATACATCCTAAAATCAAATATTTCATTTGGTTACTTAACCATAATAGACTACCAACCTTGCAATACCTACATCATCTTAACATCACTGATAACGCAGAATGCACTTACTGTCACAAATAAGAAGAATCCTTAAATCATTTGTTTCTTACATGTACGAATGCTAAAAAAATTTGGAATACGTTGGGCATGGGGAGTTATATAAATAGTCTGTTAACTTATAACACACCTCAGGAATGGCTCATTCCTTTACTA